TTTTGTGCCTTGCTACCCAGCAGCTGCTATTCAGAGGCAGATTTCAGAACACAGAAGTTCCATGTGGCCACTGCACCCGCCAGCCACTGGGAGACGCCTTCCCTGCATTTGTCTACCCTGTGGGCACAGGCACCTGAGCCAGCTGCACATTTCGTACTAGCACATTTCACCTTTCAACTCCACACAGCACGGAGAAGTGCTTGCTTTTGCTCCTTCTGAATCGCCTGCCAAACCAGGCTTGGCTGCTCTTATGGAGATAATGGTTACCATGCTTGTTTCTGGGGTGACCTTGCCCTTTTTTCCTTTTTTTTAGGGTGAAAGTCTTGATCCGCCTGCTAAAGGACCTTAGGATGAGGTTCCCTGGCTTTGAACCCCTCACTCCCTGGATACTTGATCTGCTTGTAGGTGGAAGGGAGAGGGTGGGATGGGGTTTTTCATGCTGGTTCTCTGATGTTGGCTGGATGTGGGGAGGAAGTGTATTAATGCATCCCACTTGAAGAGAGCGGGAAGGGAAGTGTATCTTTTTCTCTGCGCTTAAGTACCTGTAGCTTCTAGATCAAGAACTGAAACAGATAAAGCAAATTTAAAAATACAAAAGCTGGAGTGGAGATATACAGGTATAATGCAGGTCCTTTTAAATATAGCATCTCCCATGTAAATACTTGCTCTTTGGGGGGATTTCAGTGACCTGTGGTTAATGCAAGAACACGTTTGACTTGGAAGCAAGCCACAGTGAACTCGATGAGACCTGTTTCCAGCTATACATGGGCAGGTTTGCACTGCCAGTCCCTGGGGAACAGGGCCGAGAAAACCAAGGTTAAATGATCTGCATTTCTCCTTGGCAAACCCTAACCATCTTCCCTCTGGTCCTAGGGACACTATGCAGTGATGAATAACCCGACTAGACAACCCTTGGCTCTCAATGTTGCATACAGGTATGGTGAAAGCAGTGTCATCTCCTGGAACATGCATGGGGAAGGTGGAGGAGGCACGCATCTTCTGGAGCTGGTGGAGAGGTGCTTCACTGCCTGTTTGGCCCCCAGTGCTGCCCCGACAGCTGTGGATTTCAGAGTCCCTCTACTGGGGCCTCCACTTATTTCTTACCAGCCTGTTTTCCTTGCTCTCACCTGTGCCAGTCACCAGGCCTCACCTGTGCTCTGCTCTATCACATTCTCACCTTGGACATCTCAGTTATGCGAAACTGAATGTTTGTAGCAAAAATAAATCATGCCCGTCAGAGCCAAGTGTTCATCAAAGAGTCGGGAGCATTGAAGTCCTCTACACGCTCGCTCCTGTTACTCCCATGCTGCAGAAATCCTACTCGGCTCCTTACTGAGCCCTTTGTGCCGCTTCACCTAGACTCCCAGTTGTAGCTCCACCTTCTGCACTAAAAGGAACCCATATGCCTCAACTCCTTTACAGACACCTGCCTTTGGAGCTTAAATATCCTGGACAAGACAGCTTCCTGTCGTGGCGCTGCACTTGTACAAACCTGGCCATCAGAAGCCTTGTTACTTGATCTATTTAAACCACCATTCCCCAGCCAATTGCATTCCCTTCCTCTACTCTCAAGGGCCGTATTTACATTTTCTGGATACACCCTGCGTTAACCAGCATGGGGCAAGTGCCCCTCGACAGTCTAACCTTGCCGCTTTTCCCCCAGGCGCTGTCTTCAGATCTTGGCAGCAGGACTGTTCCTTCCTGGGTCAGTTGGCATCACTGATCCCTGTGAGAGTGGGAACTTCAGAGTCCACACGGTCATGACTCTGGAGCAGCAGGTAATTCAGACCCCTTCTCTGTCTTGTTAGGGTCGTTTGATGGTATGACAGAGTAACTGAAACGTGACCTGGAGGAACTGAAACATGAGCTGGAGGCCCCCAGTTCTTACCTCTCTCATGGGGACTCCCAAATCGATAAGCTTCCAGGCTTCCCCCTCCCAAATACATGGAGAGGGTGACATGACTGACCTCTAGGTGTGGGGAAAAATATTTAGGCGAATCCTCCAGTTGCCAAGTGCTGTGAACTATTTGTGGAGCAAGAGGAGATGCGTTTCCCCAGCTTCTCCTTGTAACCCCTTGCTAGACTCCTGGCTCTAAACAAATACGATCCTAGCCCACATGGCTAAAACAGATCTGCCTATGGTAGTAAGTTTTGCAACGTGTGTGTGTGTGTGGGGGGGGGATTCACCAAGGTTGACGGTTAGAAAATACCAGATACAGCTAATTGCAACCTCATTCAATACGAAAAGCAAACATGTGTCTGTGTATATGATCAGAGAAAAACGTAATGCCAGAAAGTGGATCCGTTAACCCAGTTGCCATGTAGTGTCCTAGGTAGGAAAAACTTTGAAGTGGAATAATACTCATGACATACCAATGGCCGCTTTTCCTTTGACAACTGCTAGGATATGGTTTGCTACACAGCTCAGACCCTCGTGCGCATTCTCTCTCACGGTGGCTACCGGAAGATCCTTGGGCAGGAAGGAGACGCAAACTGTAAGTAGGCAGTCCCTGGAAACTAGTAGAACCGAGGGGGACAGTGAGAGTAAGCCAGCAAAATGACCAGACAATGTTTCGGTACACCTGCTTGCTTGGTTGCCGTACTAAGAATTAATGCTTGAGAACAGTGGGAACTAACACAAGCGTTCCTCTATAAAGCAGTCTGTTAAAATACTGCATGCTGTAAGCCCTGTGGAAGGAACAGAACAGTCTACAAAAGGGACTAAACAAGAATCGAATGATGCTGCAACCTTGAACTTGAGCTGCAGGAAGAAATACTAGGAAGAGCAGACATTTACTGGGTGGGAAAGTCTCCTGGGGAGCCTGTACTGCAAATGGTAGCCAGTAGAATCTTGCAGTCCAGTACCCACTGACCTGGAAGTAAGCCCCAGTGAAATGAGTGGGTCTTAAGAGGAGCTAAGAGGGTTGTACTGTAATTCACTCTGTATGTGGGTCGATTGTTCCTCTCTTTGCTTATGTCCTTTAAAAAGAGGGCATGAAAAAATGGGAGGTGGGAGTATCCCTCAAAAAGGATGGGTGGGGGCAGCTTTCTAGAGCATTTTGGTCTCTTGATATGGAGCCAGAAATGGGAAAGAAAAAGGGTGCCAGTGGAAATGCATGGGAAAAACCTGGCCCTAAGACTTGCCAATCTCAGCTGATGCGAATAGCAGTGGAGTACACACCCTGTTCTCCATGTGAGGGCTTTGGCACGGGTTAAAATTTTAACCAAAGGCTTTAATCTAGAGGCTTCCCCTCTGCAGCGCAAAACGTAGCTTGGACGTTCTATCAAGACAGTGGCATTGGGCCTGTGCTGCCCCCTCCCCAAGTTTTCTACAGCCCCCTTTTTCTGCCTTGCAGACTTGGCTACTGAAATGTCTACCTGGGAAGGGGTGATTGTGACTCCGTCAGAGAAGGCATATGAGAAGCCACCAGAGAAGAAGGAAGGGGAAGAGGAGGAAGAAAACCAGGAAGATACACCTGCTGGGGAGGAAGAAGAAATCATGGAAACCCAGGAATAAACCCCCAGGTACAACAGTCACATACCAGGTTGCCCTTTCACCCCTCTCCAGACAGAAGCGCAGTTCTTCCAGCAAACCAGATGACAGTGGATGGAACCCACAGCTCCCTTCTTGCCAACCCCTTCTTTCTCCCAAGTTCCTCTTCCTCTTAGCCCGTTAACCTATTGTCCATATCAAGTTGTTAATGCTGTGAGAAGAACAAAGGCTCCTTTGTAGAATGGGTTGACTATTTGCTAATAATTGGAAGGTTGGAATATGCGAGGACCGACTCTGCTGTCACAGCTTTGGGCACAAGGCCTACCACCTTCATTTTGGTTTCCTATACTGTGGTGGTGAAAAAGAAGGAACTGGCAAGTGCCCATTGTGTTCAAGGACTGTTTGCTTCTGTCTTTCAGTGGAATTCTCTATACTCCTCGTACTTGATGCACCAGCTGAAGAAAATTGTAGTAAAGGACCAAGCCTGTGTCCTACCTGTGTGTTATTTCTAATTGTATTGTTTTTATAGTTCTTGCCATTAAAATGGTCTTTTCCTTTAAAGTTCAGTTGAGAGTTTGTCTCAGTACTACATCATTAGTATTAAAACACAGCCTTTTGACTTGCTTTTTAAAAAGGAAGACACAATAACTAGGAGAACCTCATACATACTCACTCAGCAGGACTTCTGGATCCTTTTTTCAAGGCTTAATACAGATTTCCATGCAGAGGGACCAAAAAGACTGGCCATTTCCTAGCCGTAGCCTTTCTGGCATCTGGATTATGCATATCAGGTACTCAGCAACGACAGTCTTGGCCTGTACCTCCATCCTGGGGGACTGAGTGCCTTTCCCTGTCTCCGACCAGTCACTCCTCCACAGATAATGCAGAACAAGTCAGAATCCTGGAGCAGGATAGAGAGTAGAACGGGCTGTCCGCCTCTGCCGAAGGCACTCCTTGTTCAGGCTTATGGATGTTGGAAGCTGCCTTATGTGGAGGCAGAGCTGTGCTCTGTCTGGCCCCATCTCACGGATAGAGACTGGCAGTAGCTCTCCAGGCAGGGTTCTTGCCTAGCACTTCCTGTAAGCAGGTGTTGCTCAGAGAACTAAATCAGCAGACTGAGGTACACCTTGACTGTTGCTCTGGTTTTTACACAGCAGGTGTTCAATCACTTTGCAGGTAGCAGTACTCCAGCCTTGCAGGGATGTGAACCAAAATTATATCATCATTCTAGGGGAGAAAACTAGGAAAAAAGCCAAACCCAAGCTCGTGCTGAGCACTGTCGGTATCCTCCAAATAGCTTCTTGAGGAGAAAGCTGAGAGAGAACTTTTGGGCCCTTGCAGTTGATCATATACTCCACCACTCCAGTATGGTCTAAATCCTGTTTGATTAGACTTGCCCTCTGCATGGAGACCATCTTTTCCTACTGCAAGACTAGCAAATTGTTCCCAAGATGCAGTCTACAGAAACAAACCTCAAAGTTCTATAAAACCAGAGAAAAACCCTATGTTGACTATTAGTAAGCTTTATTGCACCAGTAGGAAGCACTATTACAGAGCGATAAGCAGATTCCTTGACCCAACTCCATGCTGAGATTACTCCAAAGCATTTTCAGAAACCTGTCCCACCAAAGATGCCTCCAGCCACCCTGTTCCTTCATTCACAAGAGGAAAAGGATTCCACATGCAGCAGTTCTATCATCTGGGCAGTGTCCTTGTACTGTATGATGCTGGAAATCCAACGTCATCTCCTCCATGTCGTGGTCACAAACCAGCAACAGACCAGCATGTAAGATTGCTGCAGCCTCGGGAACTGCCTCGTTCTCGCCATTTCCCTTGGGTATGCTCCTCACTTGCTAGGGGAGCCCTGGGGGTAGTTGCCACTTGCTTCGAGCATGGCCTTCCTACGGGCGGTCTCTTTGCCAACGCTGTGGTTGAGCCTTCTCAGGCGCTCCTAGAGGATGGAGTTCAGCAAAAGGTTCACAAACATCTTAGGCAAGCCACTCGATTACAACTTCCCTGTCCTCACACTCCGTTTATAAAATAAATTTAATTTTACGAAGGCTTGGCGCTCTATAGAGATCCTTTCGCCAGTGAAGAAGCAAGTCATGGTGATCGAGTCAGCTGGACTAGTGTCAGTATCTCGGGATTAGATGTTCTTCTGCATGCGAGGAACAGTATTGTACTTCCTCTAGAATGCCTTGGGGCGAAAGTGAGCTTCTATCAGCACAGCGCTTCAGGGGCCAGCTTCATTCCACTACCATGCAAGCCACTCACCTGGGCATTCTGCAGGATATTGTTCACAAGGACAACCCTGCGCCGGGCATTGAGGAGTTTCTTGACGTAAGGGTCCAAGTCGAGGGCAATTTTCTGGTCTTCGTTGATCCGGCAAAGCTCTTATCAGGAGAAGGGAGAACAAACTGTTTTTGGCTGAGTCCACATTTTTACTGTAATGGAATCTCCTTTCCCCTCTTTTTAAAAATTAGTTTACATGATTCTCCTCACAACAACCCTGTCAGACAGGTTAAGCAGAGACTCAATGACTGGCCCAGTGTCACCCAGTGACCATTTCATGGCCAAGTAAGAACCAGAATCCGGGTCTTTCGCTGGAAATATTCCCAGACTGCTACCGCTGAAGGCTTTACATCCCATAAGGAGTCGATTCAGGGGTGAAACCCCACTGAAAAGATGCAACAGCACTTTTGCCGGGGATGTTTAGTGGGTGGGCTGGAAGGGAGAAAGGTGGTGTGGATTGTATACAGGAGAATAGCTTGAGTATTATGGTCCTTGTGAACAGAAAGCAGAGAGTGGCCCTCCCAGTGTTTGTTACTCAACCCAAAAGAAGTGCAGGCCAGCTGCTAATTTCCTACTCAAACCTCAGCAAAGCTCAGTTCCCATAACGAGTACTCTGCTGCCCCTTACTGGCTGGGAAAAGGCTAAGCATGAGACTAGTCCAGCAAGAGGCTCATGTCCCCATCTTCCCCATTCCCCAACACCCAGTCACCTGTTGCCAAGCTGTCAATGTGTTCCCGCAGTTCCACTTGACTCTCTCTGCCAGAGAAAGAGAAGTGAGAGCCTTACAAAGTGTTCCACAGAAATTAATAACCCACAACATTTAAAATCTAGCATATTTGTCCACCATGACACAAAGCGCACCCCCGCCATCTAAGAATATACCAGGTATCAGAATGGAGGAATTATTCATCTGGCAATCCCTAGAATGGACTAAGCATCTCAAACTGGAAAGAGGAGGCCTTTACATTTACACTGAATATAACATCAGGCTTCCTCCATCAGAGTCTACGCAACCCAATTCCCTCCACCCATTTCCTTCTGTCTTGCATCCTCAGGTCACCTCCATCCACCCTGACTTCAGTGTTTCACTGAGAATTCCTCTCCAACATTTCCCCTCCGCCTTTTTTGCAAGTCAGGCAGTGGAAACAAATATGCTTTCTGCCAAACTGATCTGGAGTAACTTCCTCCCTTCCAGTCACCAGTTATGAACGAAAGGAGGGGCACTTCCCCACTTGATTTCTGTGCCACAGACAGCAATTAAGGTACTGGGGACCAGGCATGCCTATTTCAAAGCTGCGTATTCCCATGACTCTTATATACAAGATAGGTTTGAAGTTGCTATTCTCAGCACACCTGTAATTGTCAAATGCATATTAAGGTCAGGCAGAAATTTTAAATGCCTCGTCCTTCTAGTTGTGCCTCTCAAAAGTGAAATGACACGGGGTTGCTTTCCACCTGCCACTCAGCTATTAAAAGAGGAAATGAAACGCCTGCTTTGTTTTCCTGTATCTTCAGCCCGGCCAGTGAAGGAAAAAACAGAATTCTGCTTGTCGCACCGCTGTTCAAAGCACTGTGGAACCAGCTGAAATGTTCAAAACAGGAGCCACCGTGATTTTCCTCCAGGGCAACGAGAAAGCTGCACCAGGCAGGCTTCCTCCTGCCACTTCACTAGCGGAGCCCACGACGGGGCAGGTTTTAAAAGGAGGACAGAGCTGGCCCTCGTCGGATTTCTGCCTGTCACAGTTATTCGTCCCCAGGAGGGACCATAACTGCCCTGGAGCTGAAGCAGCCTCCCCTGGAGAACTCCCGCCTGCCATGCAAGCTTGCCCTACCTGACCGCATGAACGTGCGCGTCCAGCTGCCGCACGGCCGGGCGCAGGAACTCGAGCAACCCTTCCGCGAAGAGGTCTCTGGCCGCAGGACCCGCCGGGCTCGCCGGCCCCGAAGGCGCCGCCGGCCCCGCCGCCGCCATGGCTGCGCGCCCGACTCGTCACAACGCCCGCTGAAGCAAAGGCTCACGGGAAGGACGGGGCTCGTGACCGCTTCCGCGGAGGGAATGCGCGTGCGCCTGTGGCCCAGGAGCATTGTGGGAAACGATGTCCCTGGCCGGGAAGGAGCGCCGGCGCACGGGCCGCTGGGAAACGTAGTTTCTCTCCCGTCCCTTACATTGCGGGCATGCTGCCTCGCCTACGGACCCAGTTTTTCCACGCCGTGCGGAGGGGCTCCGATTTTTCCCTGGAAGAGGAATGGTATTTGCACCCGATCCCGAAGAAGAACCGCTTTCCTATCTCTTGCAGGCAACGTTAGCGGCCCTCCTGGCTTTCCATCCATTTTGGTATTCACCGGATTCACCACCCAGACCCCAATTTCATCCACGCCAGGACGCGCGGCTTTGATTAGTGTCAAGACACACACGAGATAAACGTGCTGAAAATGTGACGTGAGGTCCCAATGAACAAAACTTTAGGCCAAAAGGTTCCTACATTCTGCAATACTGTACACGCGATGCAGATTCTACGTAACTGGACAGAACCAGCGGGATTTTTTCAGCGGCTTTCGGATCACCTGCTCCAACACATTTTTTTTAACTGGATTTGCCAGGGTTAGAACCTTCAACTTGCTTTATAAAAAGTATGTTATAATCACTGTATGCATTTTAAATTGTTTTATTGTATTCTATGTGCAGCACTTTGGCATGAAGTGTCATATAAATTTATTAGAAGTATATCCTGCCTTTTCCCTGTGAGGAAACAAAATCCTAATCCTTTTTATCCTCACAACAACCCTGTGAGATAGTTTGGGCTGAGAGTCTGGCCGAAAGTCACCCACTGAGCTTCATGGCTGTGTGGGGACTAGAATCTGATTCTCCCAGATGCCCCAGTCTAGCATTCTAAGCAATAAACCATACTGTCTCCAAATATATAAATAAATATTGTGTGTTCCACAGCCAAGCTGGGGTCCTGCTCCAACCTCTAGGTTCCTATATGCTGAAGAGAGATCCACATGAATGCCTTCCCTGCATCAGTCTTCTCCAACCCTCTTGCCCAAAGCACTAGAAACTTGTTTTTTAAATGACACTGTTCTATCCCCAGGATTACTTCCCTGTTTTCCCTCTCACGGAAATATGCAAAGAATACACATAGCAATGCCTTTAAGTAAGCTCAGTTGCTTTTCCAGGCAAGGCATTCCTTTTATTCCCCACGTTTCCACAGCATTCTCCAAGCCAATAAACTGAGACGCTCGGTTTAAGCTGCTTCTGAAATTCAGGGAAAAGTCCACAGTGCCCCCATACCTTCTGCAACACAAGAAGCCAACACGAGCCAGGTGGAAAACAAATTATCCTTTAAATAATGATTATTTTAAAATAAAATATTTTAAAAACAGCCAGAGGCAAGAGTGCCCAGGGAACAGCTGGTATTATTAACAAGTGCTCATTTCAGAGGAATATCAGTGCTAAAGGGCAGGCCCCCCAACCCACAAGCTGGGATGCCCAGGGCTGCAACAAATGTCCCCGTCTATTTTCTTGGTGGGCCAGACAAGGAATTTGGGAAGGTTGCCAACTTACCAGGAAAACAGCCTGCCTGGCCTGCTACACCGCCTTTATAAACAGCGGCTTAATTGCCTACCTCAGCTAGTAGAACTTTTCTTCCCAGCACTGAGGAATAAATACCACCTGGAATGCTCAGCAAAGGAAGAAGTTGCTCCCGAACGGTACATCTACACAATGTGGTGACACACACACACACATCCTGAGCTGCAGCAACAGCCTTCCGGGGCACAGCTGGCAACCAGGTTGGTGTCACATGGCCTGCCTGCCTCCCTGCCGCATCCAAATGGCTTATGGGGCAAGGGGCGACGGGCTCACGGGACGGCTAAGACGGAGGAGAGCTGTAGCCCAGAGCATCTGGCAGGCCACAAGCTGCTCGCCCGGTTTGTGTACCATGACACACCACTAAGACAGCCGGCGGCCTGCTTCCCAAGGCACGAGGGCCGCCAAGAAGCAGCAATGGCTCCGGAGCCTTCCTTGCACGGCCTCACCCTGTTTGCATTTGCCCTCACGGGGCCAAGCTTCTCCTGACATGTGAACACAGCAAGACTGGCTGCCTGGGTTGCCTGACAACCCACACAGAAACCTGTTGAATTTTGGCACAGCATATAACAAAAATGAGGGTAGCTATAAGCTAATGTACCCCCCCTCTCTTCGGTTTCTAAGTGCTGGACTACAGCCAGAAACCAAACAGTGGCTTAGTTGTGCCACTTCCTCCTCAGGCCAAGAGGAGGGAAAATTCCACCTGTCCAATTTGTGCCCTATTACTTAGGCAGATTGGTAGGTGTCCTATTTTGGGTATGCAATGAAGCAGCCGCTGTCTGGGACTCGAAATTTGATTTCTGTTCCCAAGCAAGTCAAGAAAAGCTGAATTCCAAAGCCATGGCACTTCCTACAAATTAGCACTTTTTCTCCTTTCGCAGAATTTATTCTGCAATCCCCCCCAAATGCCTTTTCTGGCATGGGGCACAACCTCCATCCTGAAGCCGCCAAAATTTCGTCAGGAATGGTCTGCATGGCTTCAAAACTATCTTCACGTAAGAACTAAAGACATGGCTTCTTTCATTTTTTTGGTAATAAAAGACCAAATTCTCTGGAGAGTTGAATTCTGTGAGCCAAACCATATCCGGCACTTGATCTGCAAAATTGGTACTGGCCAGCCAGATGTGTCATGGGGCACGATCTAGGGCTGTCGGCTGCCTGCCATCAAGATAGAAAGCCCAAGCAAGCAAACAAGTTTTCAAATATTTGTGGGTAGTTGTGGGTCCTTTTTTGGTGTTTCCAGTTATTTGGTTTTAGGTAGGGTTACAAACCCCTTAAAGCAATTTTAATTCCATGACCTTGAGTAGATTAAAAACTACCAATTTAACTTGGCTTTCATTTACATAGGGTTTTTTTTAACCCATAATTTCCAAAGCAAGACACACGCTTTCTGTTTTGGGGCAAATGTGTCCATTTAGACCCATTTAGACCCTCTAGCAGAAACAGACCCTTTGGGGAAAGGCCTGTCTGTCCATGTAATGAGAAACGGCATTCCCACACTGAAGAGAGCACGTGCCTTTCTGCATTTTGAGAATATTGTGTACTGTTGGTTTAAATGAAAAACATTTTTAAACCTAACAAAAGGTGCTTTTAGCCCTTTGAGCAAAGCAACTGGTTGGTGAAACCAGGACTGGTACACATTCCAGCAGGGGCCCACGGACGAGAGCCCCTGGAGTCGCTCTCTCTCTTCCCCCACTGCAACCTCCTGGTTCTACTGCCTCCAGACGATGGTGGGGGAGAGGAGGAGAAGCAGGAGACCCCTGCCAGCTCAGGGTTTCCTCTGCTTGTCAAGGAAGCAAAAGGCAAGCTCAGATTGGAAAGAGGAGGCGTGAGGCCCTTCCCACAAGGGCAGTGGGAACAGAGACTCACTGCCTCGTGAGTTACCACTGAGGACGCCAAAACCTGGACTTCGGTCCCCATTAAAGGCTTCTGCCCTGCTTTGCGACTGAGAGCGTGAGAACGGATCTGTAAGCCAGCTGCTTCGGATGAGGGCTTGCAGAAGGGGCTGAGAGCAAGAGAGAAGCAGGAAGAAGCTGTCCGGGAGCTGTGTCAGCTCCTTACCCCTCTGGCAGGTGGGCCGCTGATGCTCCGGAGCAACGCAGCCGCCAGCAGAGGAGAAAGTAGTCAAAAGCCGGTCCTCTTCCAAAGCAGTTCATTCTGTGGCTGGGGATGGGACAGACTGAGGCCGGGGGCAGCCGCAAGGGGCTGGAGTTCGTGGCCAATCCCCCAGTCTTGCTCTCTCGAGCGACTCCAGGAAAGCTCCTTGACACCCCCGGCCGGCCACGGCCACGTGGACAAGCACAGTCTCCACCACAGCGCCCCGCCACCCCGTCCCGCCCCGCCCCGCCGCCTGCTGCATCGGAGCCAAGAGTCCCCCTGCGCCCCGCCGCAGCCACCCTAGTTGACAGGGGCGGGGTCGGCCAGGGGCATGGTGTGCAGGACCTCATCCAGCAGCTGCAGCGCCCGGTGCAGGTGCACCTCAATCCAGCAGGGGGTGTGCTTGATGCTCTGGCGGGGGTAGTCCGGCCCCCAGCCCTTGACGAAGCTGAGCCGCAAGATGCAGAGCCGCCGGAGGTCATCCACGCCAATGCCGGCCGCCGCGGAGAGGCCTGGATGGGACCCAGAGGCAGTGTTGGGGGACAGCGGTGCCAGCTGCACGCCATCACCCCTGGATGTAATTCCAACACGGGGGGGGCGGGGGAGGGCTCAAGAGAAAGAGACCAGCCAGCCTTCTGCCCCAGACTTGGGAGACAGAATTTGGAACGGAGCCTGGAGACAGACTTCGAAGATGCACGGCTGTGCCCTGGCTGGAGTGCTTTTCTTTTGCTGCTGTCGTCTGTCCCCGATACTTACCAACGGCAGGAGCAATGCCTCCCACGGAGCCAGGTCCAGGGATGCTCCCGGACACCGCGGCCGCCTGTGCTGCTGCGGCCGCCTGTGCTGTGGCCGCTTGTTGCTGCATCTGCCGGTGGCACTGGCGCAGGTCGAATACCTGGAAGCCCAAAGAGAGGAGAGCGGCTCATCACGGACGGTTCCAGGCCACGGCCAGAGGAACCCCTCCGCGGAGTCCGAGAAACATTTATTTATTTACTTATTTTTCGATTTATATCCTGCCTTTTTCCTACAAAGGGCTCAAGGCAGCTGACATCGTTCTCCTCCTCCATCTTATCCCCACAACAACAACCCTGTGAGGCAGGTTGGGCTGAGGGTCTGTGACTGGCCCAGAGTCACCCAGTTGGCTCCATGGCTGAGCGGGGACTCGAACCCAGATCCTCTAAGTCCCAGTCCCATGCTCTTAACCACGACACCACACTGGCTCTCATGCCATTGATAAAGAAAATCTGAAGCAGGAGACAGAAAGGACGGTCCGCCCCCCGCATGGGAAGAATGACACCCAATCAAGAGCTAATAGCTGGTCCGGAGTCCCTGCTTGCCTTCGCCACCAATAAATGGAGTCCAACAGTTGGGAGAGAGGGGCAGGGCCTTTTCCGCAGAGGCACCGCCGTCTAGGGATGCCGTCACACACTGCTGGCTATTAAAGCATCTTTTGAACACCCTTTTCGTATGTGGTTTTTGCATATGCTCTCTGGATAGCAAAGAGCAAACAGGCTTGGATATCAGTCATCCAGATGTCGGCTTGGGAGTTTGTCCCTCTCTTGAAGTTCGGATCAATTTCTGTTGTTTTCCAATTCTGTGTGCTGCTTTGAAAATGCTCTTATGCTTATCGGTGCCTGTGTTGGGCACACTCATTTCTTTTGTCCTGATATCCCCCCCTCCGACTGAACAGGTCACCCAGGTTTCTAGAGCATTATGAAACCTGACAATCCTCTTTGGGCATATTAGCTCAGAACCCTTTTCCTTGCCAGAGCACAGGAGGCACCCTTAAGACTAAGCCAGGCCTTGGACTAATTCACTCCGCGTTGTCTACCTGGACCTGGGCGGCAGCACTCCTGGGATGAGGCAGGCTTGTCTCCAGCCCTACCTGCACGGATTGATCTAGAAGTGGGAGGGCAGCCATCACGGCCAGGACTAGATGGCCTTCCAGCCTGTTTGGATTTTGTTGCATGGGCTGGGGGCTTCCTGCAAGGCTCTAGAAGAAACCCAGCAGAAGAAAAGCACCTTCCCCACCTTTATATAAGCACCAGGGTAGATCTTGTGCACAGCGTCGCCCGGGGCACGCCCAGCCTCCCGATCCAGGTAGTAGCTTTGCACGAAGACCGCGTGGTCGCTCAAGCACCGCATCCAGACGTCACCTTCGCCCCGGCACTGCAATTCCACGCCTTTCCCGATGTGCAGCCTGAGATCACAAGCCACGAAGGGGGTGTGAGCCTCGTTCAGCCTGAGGGTCAAATCCTGCTTTTCTTTTGGGGAGGGGGCTGCGTTCCAGTGGTGGGTGGGACCAGAAATGCCAGCCTATTTTAGCTGAAGGCTCTTGCTGCCACATACTGCAGCCTTTCAGGATGTGGAAAGATGGTGCCACAGCCAGGAAAACTTCAGATCACTGGCAAGAGAAGGGGTGGAGTCAAGGGCAGGGCTGCCCCCCCGGGGGGGATTCTGGGGGCCCAGATCTGGCCTGCGGACACAAGGTTCCACACTCCTGCTGCATCCACGCTGTGCTTTGAGAACCCACACGGAGCCCGCCCACAGCTACAAAGTTTGCTCCCAGTCACATTTGTGAATCTTCATACATACACGGAATTTAGCCTCCCTCTTCTTCCTCTAGGGCAGTCTTTCCCAACTGGACGTTTTGGGCTCCACCTCCCATCAGCCCCAGGTAGCATGTGCCAGGCACATGAGAGATACTAGGAGTTGGTGCAGCCCCACTCATCTGGCCCTTTTCAGAAGAACAGAGGCCCGAGCCAAAAGGAAAAGAGAACCAGGTTCTCTTTTACAGTCTGAATTCAAGCGGTGGGTTGCTCTCCAGGAAAGCTTATGCCATCACAAATGTAATTGTGATTGTTTTATTTATTGCTGTGAGCTGTCCTGAGGCTACGTAGCAAAGGGACGGCATATAAAAACTTTAAATAAATAAAATAAAATTAAATTAAATTAATAATGAATGAGTTGGGCTGCTTAAAAAGGGGAGGGGAGTCATGATTGGTTGGGCCAAATGCCCCTCTTGCCCAACTGCTCTGCAGGTTGAATGGAGCATGCCAAAACTTCAGCTGCTGGGTGGTATAGAAATTATTTTATTAAATAGGTAATGCTCCTCCCCAAATACCCCTCTTGAGGCTTCCTCCACCCTATGCCTTCCTCCTGCTGGGAGGCCAAGGCAGTTCCACCGCACCATCTCCTGATGGCTCCCAATATCTTGATTCGGATACTGCCAACTTTTCAACAGGTCCCTGCAGCTGTGTTTCATTTCATGTATATTGCTACACTTCCAAGCAGCTGAAGCTCTGAAGTACAGCATACAAACTTTAAAAATACACGATTAAAACAATACAGATCCATAAAAAGAGACCCACATATATCTGCGACAATTCTGAACAAGATGAAAACCCTTGAAATATATTATGAAAAACCCTGAAACATCATCCTCAGAGGCTGCCAACCATGAGGGATCCCTTGGCCGGCATGGCAAGGAGCAAAGGCATCCAAAACTGGCCACAAACGAAGTTCCACCAGATGATCTTTCCGCATGGAAACCTCGCCTCCCTCCCCGCACTCACCTGGCCCGCTCGCTGGCGTCGGTGCGATGAACATTGGATAGCTGCCCCAGGCAGAATCGGTCCCCTCCGGATGGGTCCACGTAGCCGTCCACAGTCACGACCGAGCAGTTGGCCAGCACCTTGAAGATCTCGCCCACCTGCACGTCCATCTCGAAGTAGGCGATCGAACACCAGAATTCAGGGCCTGCCAGGAGCAGAGGGCTCGAATACGTCCAACCCCGGAGACGGAAACAGAGGGGAAGGGGGGGGGGGGCTTGCCACTTACCGGGGTGGCTGGACACCAGCTGCTGATAGGGGAGAGAGCTGTGGTGGACCGGCCCTGCATGGGAAAGACAGCGCAGGAAGTCGGACGGCTGGTGGGCACCGAAGCAGATGTGGATTTCTGGGGAAGTCCACCACAAGCACGAGAATCCCCTTCCTTTCCAGAACCCACACATCCTTCCCTGCCCGCACTGCCACAACCTGGATCCCCTCCAGAGGTGCTGGATTGCAAATTCCAGAAAATGAGGGCAACATCATCAAATCGGAAAATAATGCTCGAGTGCCTGAAGATTTTTTAAAATTTTATTTTAGCCCATGTGTTTCGGGAAAGAGTATTTCCCCTTCCTTCCTCAGGAGCTTCTCGCCGCTTTTTAAAAAGACTTTAAAGCAACACATTTTGACATAAAATCAACATGGGAAGGATTTGTTGGGGAATATCAAAAGAGGGATAAGAACTCCCCGAGGGAGGGAAAAAATGTTTTCTGAAACACATAAGGCCGTCCAACATTCCTGGTCAATGGAGACTGGCTCCCTCCCTCCCGCGTCTTGTCAAACCAGCGCGATGGGCCACCTCTTCCTCATGGTTTCCCTTTAGTAATAGCTAGCCAAACACTGCCAGGAAGGTCAGAAATGAGAGCGCATGGGAATCTGAGCGACTGCTGTGGGTGCCACCACAAAATGGCTCCCACAGAGGATGTGGGCAGCCACAGGATGGCTGCCACGAGGTCTGGCAAAGTAAGAGTGGGTTAGCAGAGGAAGAGGAAGAGCCGGGCTAGAGAAAGGGGGGAAAGGAAGGTATGGCTTCCTGCCCTGAGCAAGCTTCTTCCGACCACACGGCCTTGCCCCTCGCCTCTCACACTGTCCCCTGCCAGCTTCCAGCCTTACTCTTTCTCTGCTCTCGGCGCCTTTCCTTGCTTCCTGTTCCTGCTTGCCGGTGAGCTGATCTGTACCCACTCAGAAATGGGAGTAAGAATTGGCTTCCCCGCTTTTTCATTCATGAAGTATCTATGTTTAAGGAGGCAGGGAATAAAGACCCGTGTGGGCACCACCGGAGCTGCCTGGAGGCCTGCCCTGCCCTGTTCCCTGCCTCTGGCGTGAATTGCTTCCACACAGCGGACTTCCATTTAAATCCCCATCAATCCTTCTTTTGTTCTGCTTGTCCTTTTCTGCCCTTTCATCTTTTCTGAGATGGGACAGCCAGAGCCCAGAAGGTAACTATTAGCCAGGCACGACAATAGCAGTAGAGATTACAATAATAATAACAACAGCAACAACTGCAAAAGACAGGCCTATAGACCCAGGGCCCCAGTTCAGAAATCAAGCGCTGCAACCCCCTTCCCGCCCACCCCCACCATTTAGCTTGCCAGGACCTACAATAATGGTTTGGGTGATGGAGGGGTGGCTGTGGGTGGCTTCGGCCATTCTGCTGCTGCGGAGGGGTGGGGAGCGGCGGAGGGGTGGGCTGCTGCCTCCTCCCCCCAGACCCGTAGCTCGCGGCACTGTTGCTTCCCGGCCAGGTGGATGCTGGATGGTGCAAAGGACCGGAACAAAGAGACAAGAAACAAACAGGTCAGCGGGCAGGGCTCGAATTTGAACCTTGCTGCCCCCCGATGTTCTTGGCCAGACCATCCCGGTACTTACTCGGATAGGGAAGTTTGGGGGCGCAGCCGTTTTGCTGGGACCCTGGCGGAGCCGGGGAAGGGGCTGGGGGATGAGGTGGGCTGGAGATCTGAAGAAGACCTTCTCCGTGCAAGAGGGGGAGCAGCGGACCCCCAGGAGGGCCTGGAGCAGAGGAAAAGAGAGATGTGTTGGATTACAGGGCCACTGCTCCTTGGGACACGGTGTCGTCTCCAGAGGAGCAAAAAGCTAGTCACCCCCAAGCCACGACACTGCGATGCGCTTTAGATGGGGCTGCCTTTCATGACAGCTTGGGAACGTCAACTGGCGCAAGACGCATCACCCAGATTCTGCAAGTACCAGAACTTACTCAGTACCAGCCACATGGCTTCCCGATGCATTTCTGGCCTCTGTTCATCTTCAAACCCAGGGTGGGCACCCTTCCAGACATCCTTGGACCTCAACTCCCACCATCCCCAATCCCAGGTTCAGCGTGGCTAATGAAGGGCTGGACACCAGCCAGCCCAGAGGTAGATTGCCCACCCAAGCATTAAAGCCTTAAACCAGGGGTGCAGAAACTCAGGCAGGAGGGGCCAAATTGATTGCTTGGGGTCCTAATCTTGGGGTCCTAATTCCCCAGAGAGGTCCGCCTGGCGCCGTCATTATTTGTTTTTCGGCACCAGGCTAAGAGCTTTTTATTTAAAACTTATTTTAATTGCTAAATTATTGTATTTATTAGGATTTTAAATTAGCCGAGAATGCACCGGGGGTTTTAAATGTTTTTTTTTCTTTTAAAAGGTTATATTATTATTGTTTATGTATTTTTTTTGTATTTTTTGTGAGCCGCCCGAGGCTTTGTTGCGATGGGGGTGGCATAGAAATGTTTTAAATAAATAAATAAAATAAATAATCTGGCCCTCACCTGATGGCCACACCCCTTTTGCTTTTGGCCCCGCCCACCACTGGCCTGCCACGATGGCCGAGCGTCTCCGAACAGGCTGGGGTAAGAACTTTGACACCCGTGCCATAAAGATCTACTTTGCTGTGTAAAGTCACAGCTCTGAAGACTTTAAAGCAACACATTTTGACATAAAATCAACATGAGATTTTATGTGGGATTTTAAGCGAGACCCCGAAATAACTGGATAGAGATGGTGGAGACAGCTGGTGCTTGTGTCTCCTTTCTTCACACCCCGGTCGCAAGCTCTTACCTGGGGGAGATAAAGGCAGTGCAGGATAAATGCCAGCGGAAGGGTGCGAGGGCTCGGGAAGATGCAGCGGAGAGATGGGCTGATACGGCTCTGCCTGTGGGTGGCTGGCCTTGATGCCTGGGCCCAGGCGGTCAGCCTGCAGGGGAGCCGGCAGCTCCATCTGGATACAGTCCGGAACAAATTCCTCCTTCACAAGCCGGGCAGGAGGTGCTGGAGATGGGCGGGAAGAGCACAGGGTTCAGATCCAGGGAATGCCAAGCACGGACCTTTCTAGTCCGGCAGCAGGTTTCCTAGAAATGGCCTCCCCGGCATGCAGCATGAAGGCATTGCTGAGCTCCTGGGGTAGACTGCGCCTGCCCAAGGAAGATCCATTTTACCCATGGGAGGAACAGCCCTCTAGCCTCAGAGACTAGGCTGAAGTTCCATTCCATTCCCCACTGGGAACAACTCGACTGTCCTTACAGCACCCCCAAACCGGCTGCAAAAGGGCATCTCTCAACATCCCTATCAGCTATCCCTATCTACTGCCTCCAACAGAGGAAAGCTCAAGATCCAGCATGCTGTGGTGTGGGGAGTGTTGGACAGGGGACCTGGGGGATCCGGGTTCTAGTTCCCACCCCGCCATGAAGCTCATGCGGTGACTTTGGGCCTCACCTACCTCACAGGGTTGTTGTGAGGATAAAATGAAGTGGAAGAGACTATTAGAAGTTGCCTTGGGTTCCTCGCAAGAGGACTCAGGGTGGGAAATCAATGCAATCCCAAAATAATACTAGTAATACTCTACCTGCACACCTGCGATCTTCACTCACCTGTATTCTGAATATTCAGCCCTGCAAGGTGGAGAGAAAAAAGGCAGGTAAGTTAGAGGTTTCTGGAGCTCTGGAGCAAATCTCCAACTGCATGCAAGTTACCCTGTGCAGCTAACGTTTTTCCCACACAAAGACCAAAGGGGTGCTCAACCTTTTTGGGATACTGGGGCCCAGCCAGGCGCATAGGAACCAAATCTGCAAAATGTCTCAAAACCGATTTATGGCCATGCTCAAACTAAGCCATTGTTCCTTGGCTTTTTTGACATTTCACAATTCCTCTGCAGAGGCAACCAATTCATTCTTCATCCAACTCCATTCAGTGTTTCCATCCAAATCACAAATAGCCCAATCGTTAGCCTACTTTCCCTTCTGAACGCAATCAGCTTTTTAAAAACAACAGAACCCGCTGGGAAACGAGAGACACACACAGTGTCTCTAGGCATGTTCCAACTGCCTCCTTTAGGAGGTCACCCTTTTCCCCTCTTAAAAAAACAAAAACAGACATATTTTTTAGGAAAAGGAAGGAGAGAATGAAAACATGGAGCAAGCAAGCTTCTGCTCACACTGGTTTCACATCTTGACCAGGAAGTGAAAAAGACATTTTGGTGCGCAAGGAAAGTGGATGTGTTGCCATGGCAACTCATTCCCACAGAGCTGCGTCCGCCCGTTGCGTAGAGCCAAGCACAAGGCCCAGAAAGCTGGACGAGGTTTTATGTCACCCGTTAGGTGTCAAGTCGTCATTTGTGCCAAATTTCAGACTTCAGAAAGCCAACATGGGATTTGGTTTTGGTCTTCACCCACAGTGCAAAGATCTAAACTACTCCCAGCACGATCACCACGAAATGTACAAATGAATACCTTGAACACGAATATGGCCTCAGCTAAGCACCAGGCAAACGGGGCAGAATCTTGGCCCAACATGGCTGCCACCCTGTAACCACTAGACCACACTGCCTCTTCCCCTTTTCCTCCACAGATGGCTGAGGAGCTGCAGCCCGAGAGCCCCAGAAGGCAGCAGGGTGATGACAGCTGGCCTTGATTCTCAACGGGCAAAAATGTTTTGTTTTTTTAATTTGAGACGACCACACAGACCGACAGAGCCAGTCCAGCATGGTGGCGAGAGCACTGGATGAGGACTGGAGATCGGGGGCTTGATTAAGTCCCCAGAGTGACTCTCAGCTCCCCTACCTCACAGGGCTGTTGTGAGGATAAAAAGGGAGGGGAGCAAGAAAGGGGCATTGGGTTCCTTGTAGGAAACACGCGGGTTACGCATATTTGCGCGCATTACAAAAAGCTCTTGAAGGCCATCTTCCCCGGAGAGAGCAATGCACAGACGCCTGGCCCAAAGCCCCCGCCGCGGAGCACGCAGGGGGACACCGGCCAGGCCCGCCAGAGGCAACCCAAGCCGGATCCGGCCCCTCTGCTCGCCCAGAAAGCCGCCTCGGCCCCACGGTTCCGCCGGGTCCCAGACCCGAGGGGCACAAGGCCACCGGCAGCTCCTCCCGTGGAGCGGACGGGGCCCTCGGCCCCCGCGGCAAGAGGCAAACCGCTCGCGCCCCCCGGCCCAGCCCGGCCCGCTCACCGATGCCAGGCGACACCACCCGCTCGTAGTGGTAAGGGTTCACGCAGACGCTGTCGTACTTGAGGTCGAAGGCGAACTGGCAGAACTTGATGTGCTTCAGCTCATTCTTGTGCAGATCCGGCCAGCGCCAGAGACGGGCGTAGATGACGTGGGGGAAGCCTTTGCGCCCGGCCACCTGTCGGGGACAAGGGGGCAGAGCTGGGTGGCGGGGGCCAGAGGTGCCTGGGCACACAGCCCCGGGGCGGCCGGCGAACGGTCCCGGCAGCCAAGGCCTTGCAGGGACCGGTGCGCCCCTTGCCGCAAGGACCTGCTACCGGTTTCCGTGCGCCGCTGTGCGCAACGCATGGGATTCGCTGCGGCAGGAAGTGTCATGGAGGACAAGCGTATCCGTAGCCAACAGTCCTGATGCGCGACGCTACCTCCAATGACAGAAGCGGGACGCCTGCGCACACCGGTCACTGTGGAACATGGGCGGGAGGGCTCCGTTGCCCTCCTGCCCTGCTTGGGGCCATCCAGGGTGCAACTGGCAGGCCGCTGTGTGCACAGGAAGCCGGACTAAGCTGGTCTGCAGGGCCTTCTCTGTGGCGGCACCTGCCCTGTGGGAGGATTGCCCCTCTGAGCGACGTCAGGCCCTCGTTGCTGGCATGCTCGCGGCACGTAGGAAAACATACCTGTCTCCTTTTTCTTCTCTCCGCTAACCGCGAGCTATTTTTGTGCCTGAGCACAGACACTCGCGTGCAGTCTTCGTTTTGGTAGTTTTGCATTCTTTTGCAAATTGCTCGGGGACGTTTTTCAAGTGCAAAGTGGTGCTTCAGCCTTGTCGTCAGATAAAAGTGTTCTTAGCTACTCTGAGCACACACCAAGCAGCACAGAAATAAGGCGCTGCCGTCACGCTACCTCCATCGTTTGAACACGTCGTTTCGTACCTCTTTGTTACTTACGCAAACAAACTCGTGTTGACAGAAGCAAGGCGGGAAAGAGGGCCATGCCGGGCAAAATAAGACCCCACCCCTCTTTATGTTCACGGCGAGGGATGGATGCTTTATAGTCCGATCCAATGCACACCCCTTAACTTACTCCCAAGGCTAGCAGGTAAAACATCATCCCACTAAAGCATATTCGGATTCCCTTTCATCTATTTCTCCATTCATTTTGCTAGAAGCTCTGGGTAATTTTCGGTAATGGCCTCTTTCCCACTTCCCTGCCCTCCAAGCATGTTGGAATGCAATGCCCATCCTTCCCAGCCAAAATGCAGAAAGATGGGATTTGCAAGGCATCAAGAGGGCAGTGGGCTGGGGGGCTGAAGGAACCAGAGTGGATAATCAAACTTAAATAAACAGCTGGAAAACAGAACAAACCGGATACTCCCCCCGCCCTTCTCGTCCCCTTTAATTTCTCTCTGGATGGTCAAGATCTATTGTTAAATAATAATCCTTAAAAACAGCAGGAAGCCGGGCTGGGCAACAGAGTGGAAAAACCTCCGTTTCTCCAATTCATTCGTCCATGATCTTTCTGAGTGTGTGAGACATTCCAAAATGATGGTCATGGCAGAAAAATTCCAAAGAATGAAAGAATCTGGGGTTGGGCACTATTTGTCTGCACAGACAGAGCTGGTTTAAAGAGAAGGAGGTTTAAAATAGGAACGAATGCCTGGGACCAAGAAAAGCAAGAAGAAAGGGAGAAGAGATGGGGAAAGTGAGAGGTGCTTTAGACTCTTGAAATGGGATCAGAAAAGCCCCCCAATTTTGATGATGGTAAGGAGAAAGAAATATGAAGGCTGGTTCCCCACACTCTCCTCTCTTATCTATGTCCCGGGACACGGGAAGAGAAGGCGAAGCCCTGCCTAGGACACACATCTGCCTCTAATTCATACAACTCTCCGTGTGGAAAATTAGAGGCATAGAATTAAACTCCCTGCCTTCCTTCCAGAGGCAGAGTAACTAAGCCCTCTACACCTTTTTCCCGAAGCATCTCCTACGACCCTTCTCAGCTGCAACCCCTGGACTCTTGCCCCCAATAGCAAACTACAGATTGCTCCAAGCCATCACAAATGGCTCCAAATTTGCCCCACGGCAAAGGACGAAGGAACTGACCCCCTTTCTCCAGTCCATGCAAGAGCCATGACCCCCTGGCCCATGCCCTGCCCCACATCCTTTCTAATTTAATGACGGAAGGGGGGAGAATGCATCACACACAGCCGGTACTCATTTTTCCCCTAAGGCTTTTGGCTGCTGCAGAATCCAGACATAACAACAGCCCCCCTCCTCCCCCCTGGCTTCAAGAACCAGACAGTGACTCATCGGGGGGGGGGGGTGCGGCGGGGGAAGGAGAAGATAGACCAGAAATGAGAGATTACTAGAGCATTGCTGTTGTTCCTTAAAAAAATGGCAACGGGTTAATGACCTCACAGTCTTGACCTCAAAACCGGGAGCTGCGCCATCCACCAGTTGCTGGGGGGGGGGAGGGGGGGAATGGAAAAAAATAACAAAAGAAGACACCCATCCCATCATTCCAGGCCTCAAAGAAGGGGTCAGCTTTCTCTCTGGGGGATGAGACTTCTCCTCTAGAGTGATATTGGGATTGGGCACTGGAGTTCCTCAGCACGAGGAGGGCCCAATGACACCCCCATGAAGGATGAGGGGGCAGAGAGCGCCCCCCCCGAGGGCCAGCATGTCCCTATGAGGATCAAATTGACACTGCCTCCCCCCCACCCCTTCTTGTTATTCCTAAAAGCCAAGCAAGCGGGAAGCGAGCGATGAGGAAGACGGACAAGGTCCATCTGTCGCTGTCCAAGTGCATCCAATGCCGGACCCTTTGGCTCCACAGAAGGGTGCTTATTCCCAAGGAAGCCCCATGCGGGGTCCTGGGGGGGGAGTGGGGAGTGGAAGGACTTTGGAGAAACCCAGAGGGCTCCCTGCACCCCTGAATGCTGCCCCACCGCCACCGCGTTCCTGGGGCGGACAGGTGGAGACCGGCAGGCGCAGCGCAGGCGGCCACCCCGGCCCAGGAGGGGTGCGGCTCGCCACCGGCCCGGCTCACCTGCAGGCGGCCATCCAGCGTCCTCTGGATGGTGACGCACTTGCTGGGGTGAGCGCCGTTGGTGGTGATGGCGGTGATGAGGGAGTCCAGCTCGTCCTTCTTCTCCTTCAGCTTCTTCACCAGGCTCTCGATGGCCCGCTTGGCGAAGGACTCGTTCTCCCCGCCCTGCCGATGGCACATGAGGCTGTGGACAATGTTCAGGCAGGCGTCGCTACTGCTGGGCTGGTTCAGGGACATGGCGAGCGCAAGAACTCCCTGGTGGGGATGGTTGGTGGAGGCGGGGGGGGGGGGGGGGGCACGGGGGCTTGGGGTGTGGGGGATGCAGGGGGGGGTGGGGGGGAGAAGCCAAGTACACAAGCGGTCAGCCTCCCCCGGCAAGAGGAGACGGCAGTGATACATGGAAGCGGGTCCCTGTCTAGGATTTCACAGACGGCCTTCCTGGCACACCATGGATGGAACCACTGAGGACTAGTAACTTGCTTCGTGTTTTTTAAAAAAAAAAAGGTTGTGGGCAGTGTGAGGTGAAGATTCTGTGACTTTCCCCCAAATAATTAGTTGGGCAGAGGTGCCCGCTGAGGAAAGGACTGCATGAGACATAAGCCAAGATATCAGGAAAGAGTGCGCTGGGGAAACGGGAGGTGAGACGGACAAGGAAGAATGCGGACTTCTTCCCCTCCCTTCACAAACAGCAACGCATAGGCCAGATAAGGGTGGCCTGCAGCCCTCACGGGTCATCCACACAGCCTGCCACAGGCCCCCAAGTCGGCAGACTGCCCACAAACCCTCCCCACGCAGGTCAAGCCACGGCCGCCGCCACGATTCTCCCCGGAAAGTGTGTGCACAGGGGTGGCTGGCGCGTGTGAGAAGTCACTGGGGCACAAGGAGAGACATCACCACACTCTCGTCCTCGGCACAGCGACACTCCGGGGCTGCGAAGAGCACAGTATAAAATGCACAACTCCCTGCTGAGCAAAGCAGGGGCCAGAAGGTGTGATCGTGGCGCATGGGAGTGAGGGGGCTGTAACAGGGTGCACCAAGATCGGGGGCAAGGGGCAGCGGCAAGAGTGTTCCTGCGCATATGTGGAGCATGTGGGTGCGGTCCCAGATTCACAGCTCCTGCAGCCATTGGGGCAAAGAGGTTGCCCACTCCCAGCCTAGCAGTTAGAGCAGGGAAAGATGACCCTGTGGGCAAGCTCTGATCTTCAATACGAGTCAAAAAAGGGAAAACATTTCCTGGTTTGACCTTGCTGTGGGGAAAGAATAGGATTTCTTCCTGCACTTTTAATCTTCAATGTAAAATTTTGAAAAAAGAAAAAGCAGGCACACAGGAGAGGCAAAGAAGGGCTCCTAGCTAGCGGCCTCTTGGGGTCGAGGGATTAAAGGGCTGCCGAACGAGATCGTAAAGTGGGAACAAGGGCTCCTTTGGGTCTTTCTCCAGTTGTAATGATTGACTAAGTAGTTAGCTGTCTACTGATTTTCGACTGGCGTGGGCAGGAAGTCGAGGCTGCAGCCCCTCAGCACACGCACCCCCTAAGGGAAGCAGTCTGCCCCTTAACAGGAGGGTGGAAGGTAGGGGAAGATGAAACAGAGGAGTGGGGTGAGCCAGTGGGGAGGAAAGGGGAACCGGGGCACCTGGCTTGCTTCCGAGCCTAACGCAGGCCCTTGCAGCTTGGGGAGCCGTGTGTGAGTCCCCCAACTTGTTGAAACACGCCCCCCACCCCAGCAGATCTGGGGGAATCCCGATCGAGGTTCCTGGGGGAGGGAAAGCGAGGCGGTGCAGGAGGGGGCATGCCCCAGAGCTGCAGGGGGTGGGGGGCAGACTCTGCGCTTGGAGGCACAGGAGTGCCCGAGAGCGGGGCGGGTGGCCCGTGTGTCGGTTCGGGGAAAAGCCGTCCCCCCCGGCCGTCCACCTCCCGGCTCACCTGCTACTGGCTGCCCCTCGCTGGGGTGTGGAGACGGTCGCGGCGGGACGCAGAACATGCTCTCCTGACTGCGGCAGACACGCATCTGCTCCTCAAGGTGGCGGGACGCCCATCCGCGGCTCCTTTCTCCCCCCACGCCTTTTTCCTTGTGCAACTGGAGTGAAAGACAGAGGCGGCGGCGGAGGAGGAGGAGGAGACGGCACAGACTAAACACAAGCCAGCCAGACAATCACTGCCGCTGCCTGTTCCTCATGCCCTCGACCACATCGCCTACAGCGGGAGAGCGCGCGAGCTGGGAAGAGAAGGACACGCAACTGTTGCTCTGGCTGCGTGCACCGCCATCCGCAGGGGGCCTCCGGCTTCCTCTGGCGTCCTTTGTCAGGGGCTCCTGGACCCCCTCCCTAACCCAGTGCGGGGAGAGCCCTGCTGAGTTCTCATGCCCCCCCTTTGGGCTCGGCTAACCTTTAACCACTAGGCTCTGCTTCCTCACCACGCATGTGTCCTCCTGCTGTTCTTCCTAGCCCCCTGTCACTGCTAGACTCCATGTTTTGGGGTGTCGGAGCTGCTCCCCAGAAACCCAGCCAATGCTGGTGCCAAAATAGTCAATAAACACTAATCAGTAAATTATTGCAACTGAGGAAAAAAACAAGGAGGTCCCCGTTTCTTTTTATTTAGTAGCCCCAAGGCTCCCTCGGTGGGTTACAAATTAAAAAATATACAATGGTTCTGACTTTACACTCTCTTCCAACCACTAAGCTCTGCTTCTGTCCCAGATGTAGGTGCTTTTGTCTTCCACCTGGATCCCTGGGTTTTCTATCCTTTTGTTTTTAAAACACTTTTTCTGGGACACGAAGATAGTAGGTTTGAGAGAAGATAAGGATTTGCTGTGCATGAAATTTATCGAACTGTTGGGGCTGGCTTCAGAAAGGCAGTCTTGCAGTAGTTTGCAAAGACATGAGCAGAACATAACCACCTTCGTGGTCCCAACCCCTCTGCTTGCTTTGCTCTTTCCTGCACGCTCTGCTCAATAAATCTTTTTCCGACGGGACACCATACAGGACCCTCACACAACAGGCTGGGCCCCTGAATGCGCTGGCTTCCTCCAATTCCAAGCAAGTGAAGTAATGCAAAAGCACACATCTCCTGAAAATCATTAAATCCAGAGTCTAAAATTATCTAACTGCAGCCCTGCTTCATTTCCCCGAGGTTTATTAAAGACCAGAGAATCCACCAGACACACCCAGATTCTTGTTTTATCACACACACTTAGAGAAGCTGTCCTTCTCACCCGACATCCCTGGAGGAAGCTCTACCAGGCAGATTTCGGCCTAGCTGTTGAGCGCTACGGGCCCAGTACTTCTGTGAAGGAAGAAAATGGGAAGTGCTTGATATATATCACAAGCATGTCCCGTCAGCTGATGCTACCAGAGTCCGAGGCTGAATTGGGGGGCACCCCTGTTGAGGTTTGAACCTGTTCGGTGAGAGAGTCAAGCCGAAACCTTCATGGGGTCACCCAGTCCATATAAACAGTTCCCAAACAGTGTCTTGGGGGTGTAATAAAATGCTGTGAGGATGAAATGAATTAAAAATTGACACAAGTCCAGAACACCCACCCACAGAGGTCCTGCCCATCCATATTCTGGGGCAATTCACTGCTCACCCCTTCCTTCTTTCTCCTGCTTCTCCCTGGATTTTGGGGGCAACATCCATGGCCACGCAGCCTGCCCCCAACTATTTCACTCCTGAAGTTACAGCATGCTGAGAGTTTAAAATGCAGAAAGTCCACATAGGGAGTTTTTCTAACCTAACCAGAAGTGTAGAAGTTACTTTTTGGCCTGGCCTGGCCGGAGAGATGCCGGAAAAGAGAAATATCCATGTTTGCTTCATCAGCAACATCAGAATACACTTAACTGTAAAGGCACTCCCCGTAAGAGCATTAAGCTGATGCATGGTTTAAAGAAAAGGCCATTCTGAAATGCCCGGCACACCTCATCAAGGATGGCTGCTGGCTAGGTCAACACTGAAAAGGTGAAGAACTACCCACCTATGAACCGATTCTAAAAAAGATCCTGGACTGTGCAGAAATGGATAGACTGACTTTATCACTGAAGGAGAAAGAAGATACTGACTTCTATCAAACTTGGGACTTTTTTTATTATTGGCTAGAGAAAAGGGACTTCGCATAGATTTAAATATGTTTTTAAAGTGATCATAAATGGAAAGAAAAGGTGTGAGAGCTGACCCAGCGGCCTCAATGTTTTTGATGATGGATGTTGTAGTTTTTTGTTTTGTTTTTTTTTAGGATTATAATTTCAAATAAAACTTATTTTTTTAAAAAAAGGGATGGCTGGCTAGGGAAGGCTGAGAGATGTAGGGCTTTTTCCCTGTCAAAACAAGCACAGAGTTGAGCCCCATACCCAGGGCCTCAACTTACCCAGCTGCAGCCCGCTCTTTGCCTTCCTAGCTAGTATCCGGAACAAAAAGGCTTCTTACACACCACATCAACGAACCGGTTCAGAGTAGTGTCGGGCCGTTCTGCCACCACACAGACACTGAGCTGGGGCCAGCCTTGGGCCACAGGTCAGGGCGCTGCGATGCCGTCTGGAAGCTTCTGGAACGATCACGACCTCTGAATCACCGGCTGGGATGGCAGGCACAGCATATTGGGGAAATCCTTGGCAGTGCAGCAGACACAACAACAGGAGGGGAAGCAGATTAAATTTCTGGCGCTCCTGGGCACCACCAGCACCAAGCTGTAGGCACGGCTCTGTCTTTCCTGCATGCAGATCCTTCCCTTCTGGATGAAACCTTTTTATATCCCCACCAAACTGATCAAAAAGTCCCCAATTCAGTGGAAAGGGTATATATGATATGTAACCTGCTCTAGCGCTTCCACCGCAGTTTTTCAATTTAAAAATAGGACTAGATATGTTTTTCAGGTGTTCTTTTTGGGGGGAGGGGATGTTTCTAGTCCTTATGGCAAAAAGAACATGATTAATGGCCTAATTTTTTCGATGTCTACTACAGGCTAAGTCCCACGACACTCTTATTCCTTCTCCAGAGTGTTTAAGATTGCAGCCTTAAGACTCCCTGTATACAGGCAATTAAACCACCAGGAAGGAGATGTTCAGCCAAACACCTTTCCTGATGTGCTAGCTTTTTATTTGCAGGGACTTAAAAAGCATCCCCCACACCATCATCTAGGCTAGGATCTAAATTATGTTTAGATCTAAACTGCGTTATGATTTGAAGAAACCAAGCACTGGGTCTAGGGCCCATTCTGACTGCCATTTCATCCATCTGCCAGGCTGTTGGAAAGGAGATACGCCTTTGTGGATAAACTCGGCCCCCGGTTCAAATAAGAAATTTTCTGTAGCAGGTTGTGCTGCAGCGTTCATTTGCAAAAGGTATTTTTCTCCCAGGGAAGCTTCTGCCTTCTCTTTTACAGACATGCAAGCCCAGATCTGGGGCAGGATATGCCCCTGGTCTGCAGGTGGAGCAAAACAGCCTCCTCCAGGAGCAGCAGGGAAGCACCTGATGCAGGCCTTTCCCCAGGCAGCTAAGTATTCTGGCCAGGTACTGGCCTGGTGGGATAGTGCACCCCGATCATTTATGCCGAGTCTCCCCAATCCTACACTGCAATTCAACTCACCTCAGAGGCCCCGACTGTGGAGGGCCGGCGGGGAAGACGTCAGGAAACACGGTGTGCCAGGCCATTGAGCTGAGGTGCGCCCAGGTACGCAAGGACAGCACCTGTGCCCGAAAAGCTCACCTAGCCATCAGTGGAGAGACACAACCGGGCGAGGGCCCCCGCAACGTTCCTGCTTTCGGGGAAACCCTCCAGGCGGAGGCAATGGCAGGCCGCCTCTTCCACTGCTTAATGTCTGTCAGCAGAAGCGTTTCGGGATAGACTGCTCCTGACAATGGTGGGACCACCGACCAACTTAGAGGGCCGTGGGGAAAAAGGAGGCTCCCATCCCACTCCCCTCCCGCAACCTGTCGCCCACCACCCGCATGCTTGGGTTCCAACTCCTATGGGCTCCAGTCGAGCCCCTTCCAAGTGTTTTCGGGCGACGTCTCCCGGTTTTCTTGAGCACTGGCCCCGGCGTGGCTGGCAGGGGATGCTGGGATCTGTAGTCGAATCCCTCTGGAGGGCGGGCGCCCAGCTAGAGGAGGCTACGTTGCACCACTGAGGCAGGAGCTGAGACTACTTGCACCCAAGTTGGGGGGGGGGCTGGGAAAGCAGGATGGGCTTCCGGCGTACTTACCCCCACAGGCGCCGCCCGGCCCTTCCCACGGCGCCGGCCTCCCCGTTTCACCCCAAAGGGAAGCGGGAGCAGCCCTAAGAGCGGCGCCGCTCCGGCCACCCGCACAACAAAAGGAGCGGGCCGCGCAAGGCCAGCAGCCAATAGGGCGCGCGGGCACAGGCGTCCCCGGGGGTCCCGGCCAATCGCCGCCGCGGGCCCGCGGGGGGGCGGGGCCTCCCGCTCGGCTCGATCCCGGCCGGGCCCAGCGCGGCGCCTCTTCCCGCGGGGGCGGGACCGTCGCGCGTCGGACGCGGCCGCGCCCCGCCGGCAACTCGCGCAAGTGCCGCGGAGGAACCGGCACGGGCCGCCGTCGGGCTCGCCCGCTCTTGGCGGCTGCCGGCAGCCACACGGGGCAGCGCGACAGCGCCCACGACCATGGGCAGAGCGCGTCCGCCCCGTCCCCCGGCGCCCGCGGACCGAAGCCAGGCTGCTCGGCTAGGTTTTTCTTCTCCCTCTCCGAAGCAGGATTCCGGGAGATTCGTCAACCAGCTGCTCCAAGAACAGCCCGATTCCTTTGCAGGACTGAGCCGCCTCACGGGTGCTCTTCTGTCTCCCGCATTACAGGCTGGGTCACCTGTTCTTCTGCCCATGCTCCTGAGCTACCCCTCCCCAAACGGTGGTGGTGGTGGTGGTGGCAGGGCTGCAGAGACAACCCACACGTCTGCACTCCACGTCATAACCTTGAACGTCCTGCGCATTACCTGCTACTGCTGTAGCTCTGGCTCTCTCCATTACATTGCCCTCCTCAGGCGAGACAGTTGCCCAAGGACACCCCAAAGAAAAATTCTCTCCCTCTACCCAATCCATCCAACAAACTGTGGGCCCAAAGGGGCCAGCAGATAACATGTCAAGAGAGCAACAGGCGACTCATAATGCATAAAGTCTTAAATGAAGTATTACAAGCCTCCGTGGCTTTTGCTGTGGCAGCAGAGACACCAACCCCTAAAGAAATTCCTATCGGGCGAAAGAGCAATTCATTACATCTCCTGCTCCAACTGGACCCCAGAACGGAGGCCCGCAACGCACAGGAGACAAGCATCTCCACTCTCCCACCACCACTGGAAAACGAGGGTGTACAGAATTGGTGGCCATTTACCCAAAAGAGGGACGACAATGTCGATACAAACCCTCTGCTGGCCTTTTGCAAAAGAACTCGATGAAGGATTTGACCAGTTTAACCACGACGCTTTTCGAAGCGACACACACACGGATACCCACTCTGATACTGCCAGCATCTCGATTTCAGATTTCCAGCTTCATAGCTGGCAGGCTTTTTAACTCCAGAGCAAAGGGCGTCAGGAGAGGCTGCTCCACCTCGTCGAAAACTGAGCTATGTGCAAGATCACATGACCCCCCCCCGACATTAGTAAGCAGCAAACCGAATGACATATATTAACAATGCTATGGTGTCACTACTGTGCCTACACCTCGGAGCTGTTTTATTTATGAAACCCTCTAAAATAGAGCTTTGGGTTTTAAATCGCTAAGATTGACCACAGTATGGCACCAGCGAAGCCTTTTCTTCCTCTGCTCTGGATTTCTTTTTAAGGAGAGATACTGAGAAAGAGGCAAACCGGTACAAAGATTTTGAGAGGCTGCCACCTCTCCTTACGCCAAAATTCTCTCCTTAAAATATAGACCCTCTTACACCTTGAGATCCTACAAGGAGGTAGAGAAGTACCTGGACATATGCAGGGAAAGAATCTGAAATGGGTCCAAAAGGGGCATGTGAAACTACCGGAATTGGGAGAAGAGGTGTTAACACAGTGCTTTTTAAATTTACTGCACATTTGGACACAAAGGAGCATTTAGAAAGACAGAGAATCCGTGAAACACGTTATCCACAACAGTCTTTCCCAAGCTTGCACTTTGCAGAGGTGCAGGGCCCTAAGTCCCACTATCCCCAACCAACAAGCAAAGAATCCTGTGCAGCAAGGAGAATATGGCAAACGAGTAGCCAAGCCTTTGGCTGCAGGTTTCTAACAAGAAAAAATACACACTGCGAACAGCTTTCTTTTCCCTGCAATTGTTTCTTACAGTAAACCAGAAAATACAAGATGCCGTTTAAAACTGGAACAGAACAGTTGCGCTCACAAGACTCCAGGTGGCAGAGAGAGGGGGACATGGAAAGCAACTAGCTCCCTGGTGTCTCAAAACACACGCAGACCGGTAACAAGAGCATGAACATAAACGAAGGAGCTTGCCGATACTGAAATAAAAACCAGTTTGAGTCACATGAGGTTGGATGGATTAAACCCAAACTGAGCCCAGTCCTCTTTCAGGGAAGGGGCGGGAAAGGCAGCATCAACTTGTGCTCACCATCGAAAAGTCATGGAATTACGGTTGGGAAGGAAAGCCAACAAGTGCCAGGAAGGGAATCTGGTGACCGTAGCGTAATGTACTATCTTGAAACCTAGTTTTAACAGCAGCTGTAGCTGCTAGACATCACAGCTCATGATAAGCACCAGAGACCTTCTATTTACAGAAAGGCCAATTTTAGGAGTGGGGGGAGAAGCGAGGGAGGGTCACGTGTGCCACGTTGGCCTGCTTAAGAGCAAAGAAAAGGGTAGTGTAGGGCTCAGCACTAAGAAAGTGGATGCCATCGGGAGACGGCCAGTCAGTCACATTCATGTTCCAAGTTGTTTAAGAAATATGTATGTGTATGTATATACATATATAAAAAACAATCCCCCTACCCAACTGTCATCCAACACATGAGTATCAAAATGCAGGAGGAACACCTGACAGTTATGTAGCTTGCCCTCCCCACGCGTCAGGTCTGCAGGTCCTCCCCAACACTTAACAGCGGTTGCTGTTCTTGGCTTGCACCGGGGGTGGGGTGGGGGGTAAGGACCGGCACACACACAACACGCAACCTCAACAAGCATCTAAGGTAAGAAGCATCAATCGTTGGTTTCCGGGTCCGTCTGGGCCATGTAGGCGTCCAGCTCGGCATCCAGGTGTCCTTTCGTCTTTGACATGTATGCATCAAGCTGGTTGTCCAACTGCTCCTTGGTCAGTGCGGGCCGGGTGGAGCCTCTGCCTCGCCCTCGGCCTCTTCCCCGGCCGCCAAAGCCACTCCTGCCTCTGCCCACCATGCCACGACCTGATTGCAAGGGAGCAAAAGCAGAGTTGAGTGCTGCCCGAGCCCCCCAGGAGGTGCTTTCCCCAACCTATGACTGCACAGGGCCTTCCCTGTGGGAAGGGAGTGCTGGCGAGTTAGTGCAACGCACCTGGAAGGTACCTGTTGCAGAGGCTGGAACAGACACCTCTCGTCTGAACAGACCAGGGACACACGTCAGCCAGCCTTTCTGCTGCAGCCCTGCCTATCTGTGTCAGGCGTCTGCCCGCAGCCTTTTTGCCAAGCATTTTAAACAAGCAAGTGGAGCACTGTGAAAAGCAAGGATCCACAGCCTTGTGGGCCCTCTTGGGAATTCACAGCAACGTGGAGACTGAGCTGACCCACCCATGAAACAGCTTCCACGATGGGTCTGGCCAATTGCAAAACATCCGTTTCTCATGAGGCGAAGTAAAAGGAAAGTAATTGGTGCAGGAACCGGACTCCAAGGCTGAGGCGGAGGTCTGAGCTCTGGAGCACAAACCATTCACTGTGCAGCAAACCAGCCTCAGTTAAAACATAAGAGTTCTAACATCTTAGGAAAGTGAAATTGAGCCAGGGAGCCTGACAGCGGATCCCAGGCACCAAGCTTGAGACATGATGTGAAAAAGAAAGTTCTCTTTCCTTCCCAGACTCTCTCTCCTGGGAGAACTGTACTGTGTAATACGTTTCTGGAGGACCAGTGCATGTGGACGTAGCAGCACCTCTGATAGGACCCTGACTGAGGTCTTCCCAGGGGAAAAAGCCACATTTCAAAGTGCAAGACCCAATCAGAAAGCAGATCATGCCAATGCTCCGCAGAGACACCGTGAGAATTGACCAGTGTACAGACACACTGGGATTGTAAACAGGCCTCTCATGATGTAGTTCTGTGCCCTCCCGCGCATAAGTGAGATCTGCCAAAGGGCAGCAGGAATAAAAAGCGAACACAACCTATTGTCAGAGTTCATCTCACTCACCTCTGCCGCCAAGTCCACCGCGTCCCATGGCTCCTCTGCTAAGACCACCTCTGCCGGGACCACCCCGTCCTCTAATGCCTCCTCTTCTCAGGCCCATCCGAGGAGCCATGCCCCGGCCTCCCCGAAGTAAACTCTGACCTACAATAGGGGGAGGAAGAAAAAAGAGCTGCCCATTCAACTTTCAGGGGCTACTTCTGCATCACACATCTTTACACAGTTCTCAAGCAGCTTAATAATTTTGTCAATAATGACAAAAAAGCAATCAAGGGCCGCTGCTTCTTTAGAAATTCTCTTCTCAACCCCTAGCTCCTCCTCTGGTCCTTGCCATCCTTCCAGCAAAACCCCCCATGAATTTCCAAATCTGTCTTGTCATGCAAGAGCCTGTGGTTTCCGGAACCAGAGTGTCAGCCCCACCATCCAATCCCCAACTGAATCCCTGCCACTGGCTCAGGCTAGAAACATAGCAGGGATTACCAGAACTTACTCCGGGATCCCAGACTGTGTCCGTTGGCTCATGACACAGGCAAGGAATATGCGGAGATGGCCAGGGCTGGTTTTAGATGCCGCTCCCACCCAGCAAAGTGCTCACTGCCACATGCCCCCTCCACCCTCTCTCAAGTTTGTAGCACATTTCTGAACCCACTGAAAGGACACTGTGGCATCGGAACCACACAATTTAGCACATGAGCCAAACAAAACAAGAACTTTCCAGTTAATGGAAAGCCTAATTCATAAACTGAGGGATCAGCTCTGGAGAACTTCTAGAGGTGTTCACTATGCGACCTGCTATCACTGCAACCAAGTGTATACTCACCTCTTAAAGGGATTCCGCCTCGTATTAACATTCTTGCTCCGCGCCCACCGCGCATGGCTCCTCGGGGCAGGCCTCGCTGACCCATCAGCAACCCTCGCCCCCCTAAGGTTCCACGGCTCAGGGGTCCAGCTGGTCGGCCTAAGCGTGCCTGGATGTTACTCTTCCCCAGGCGCTGTTTCAGGCTCTTCTGGAAGAAGAGAGTGTTAAACAGGGAAACGCTGTGCACAGACAAGCAGCGAGCAACTGGCACCAGGGGATGGGCACCAACTGCTAGGGAAAAAAAAGTTTTATATGGCTGGCAAGTCTCTTATTCAACACACAGAGACCTACAGGAAGGAAAGGGTGAAGGGTCAAGCAAAGTGTTTGTTTCTGGACAAGTGAAAGAAGTAAATATGCCCCAAACAGCTGCTGTTCCGAGAGATACATAAGGACAGCATTTACAATATTGGTGGGATCACCCGGACTGGAAAGTTGTATTATTTGCTGTATAGAGATGACATTAAACATGGTTTCCCAGCTTGCACCGCTCGTGCAATCCTGGTTCAGTGACACGTTGGCAAACCTTTCAAGGCAAAGACAAAAACGAAAGGGGGTCACAGCTGTCCACTGGAACCCCCACTCCATAGGCAGGAGACCCCCCGTTCCACTTCTGAGCTCTATGGTGAAATGACTGCCAGGCTGATATGATGGGAAAAGCAGACAAATGGCCCAACGCAACAGGACGCAGCTTCACACGAAATCTATTCTAAAAGGCTTATCATGGAGGGACAGACCTTTGGCACAGAGAGCTTATGGACAGAGCAGCTCGGTGCTAGAAATATTCAGATTTGCATTCTAAAAACCAGCACTCTTGCTGGTTCCTGCCCTCTCATTTTAAAAAACCCAGTCCAGTTTTTAAGAATGAAGGGCAATACAGTTAAGACTTTTTTTTTAACAGAACTTGCTTTGTGGCTCTGGTATTCCAGGGATCTGAAACTCCTCCAGGAGTTGCTATTCCTGAACCTGGTCTGGTCCCACGGCTCCCAACAAAAACCCTTCTGGGTTTGCAGGCAGGCAATAAATGAAAGAAGTCCTTGCCTCTGCGTTCAGCTGCACAAGCTCTTCCTTCTGAAGACGTCCTTTAGGCAGCTGACTCTGCAGAACGGCTTAACTAGCATTTACTCCACATGGTGCCAGACAGATGGTGAGGTTTATTTGTATGGGGGAACCCTCAAAAGGATGATTCTGGTTTTATGTGCCACAACTGTTTTATGGTGGCTTTTTTGGGTGTGTTTTTGTGTCTGCATTTCACATATTTAATGTACTGCACACCACCCAGACAGCTATAGATATTGATCCATTTAAAAGGACAAGCAGCAAATAAATTCTGGAAAAGATGTCTGGTTAGGGGCCAGGAGGACCACTTGGCCCCAGAAGCTCTACCGCTTTCAAAGTCAGACAGACCAACAATGATCCCAGCTAGCTAGCAAACCCCTCGGTTTCTAGGCCACACAGAGGATTGGGGCAGGGGAGCTATATTTAACCTCGCCCCTGAGTGATGCAGGGCAGCCACTTAAATAACGCCCTGACAAATAAGTGGCTCCCTTAAAGCAGGAAGCCTCTCCAATGACTCAGCATTCGGTGGGGGGAACCTTTTCTCCTCCTTTGGTAAGGAGACACCACAGAGTAGAACAAGTTGCTAGCCCTTAAGGCCATGAAACTACACCCAAAAACATGCACATGTGCGAAGATCTCAGAAACCCGAGGACATCTGAATAAGGCTTCTGGCGGTGGCTGTAGCAGCGAGAAGGCTTCAATACCCTACTAAGTGATGGTTCTTCACTGCATCCAGGCAATTCTGAAGCAAATATAGGTGTCTTCTTTAAAGATGCAAGATTACGTACATCGAGGGCTAAGCGAGCCTAGCCAATCGTGTATTAGTTATACAGAGAGCAAAACACAGATTTTCTTTGGAAAGGACCGCGATTCCTCAGCGGCAGCGTTTTTCTTGCGCTGTTCTGCACAAACCACACACCTCTGGTGACATGTGGCCACCAAGACAGGACTAGGGTGGTTTTCTGCCACGCCGTCCACTTCCTCACCCTGCCACCTGGAGTCACCGCAGGCAACAGGCACGCGCTTTGACGCACTCAGATGTCGCCTGGCATCGCTGGAGAGTTGAGGCAGGCCGACTATAGCGGCCTCTGCATGCAGTGCTGCCTTTCACCCCCAGAGCGCCACTAAATCGGACCGCCCAGTCCAGGCTAGTCCCCGGAGTGCCAGGGCACAGCATGAGGCAACTCAAATCCACCACCTGTGCGCTCAGTGCTTGCTCTCACCTGCTTGAGTTTTAGGGCCGCCTGGACAGAAGGTCTATTCTCCATCTGCTGGGCCAGCCTCCTGTTGCGGGCACTGGCTAACTGTTGCTGCTGCATGGTGGCGCGAATGTTCACAGGGATCGGCTGTTTGTTCTTCAGCATGTTAGTAAAGCTTCAAGGTCGAACAAAACGGGTGTTTAAATAAATTTTTCATTACAAACGCATTTTCAACCGGCATTTCATGGCCCTCAGAGCAGGACAGCTGCATCCCATGAACTTTTACGTAACAATGTGGTACACAGTGAACATCACGTTACTGAGTTACGGATCTTTGTTGTGTTTCCAGAAAACGTGCAAAGACAGGACATTCAAAAGGAATGGGTTAGTGCAATATATTAAAACCAGAAGTGGTAATTTTATAAAGTTTGTGATTTCAAAGAAAAGAAAAGGAAAGGAAAGGAAAGGAAAGGAAAGGAAAGGAAAGGAAAGGAAAGGAAAGGAAAGAGATGGAGACACACAAAGCAATAAGCTGGGAATGGTGACAAAACGGGGAGAAAGATATAAAAGAAAGAGAGAAGCAATGCTAACTTAAAATGAATAGCAAGCAGCCAAGATAGATGAAGGCATCACCAAGTCAGATTGTGCACTAAAATATTAAGTCACCTGCCAGCTAGGATGTCCTAAGCCCGGAAAGCTGGACCACAAGATCTACCCCTCCCCCTCAAAAAGCTAGGGCCCCAGAACGACACATAACAGCTCCCTCATTGAAATGAAGGCTTACTGAAACCCCGACGTCCAGAAAGCACAGCAGCTGAAACGTGGCCCCACAATCCCTGCACCAAAGGGAGTTCAGATCTCAGCTCCCTGTGCAGCTCCTGCAGAAATAAAGACTCGCCAGCTTTCCATTCCCAGGTCTGAGGGCCTGTCCCATGCAAGCCTCCACTCCATAAAACAGATGGGGAAGAACTGTCTGGAGGCACCTGCCACTCACATCTGAGGCAACCTGAACTCCCTGGGATCAAGGCTTTGCCAGGGAGCAACCCAGCTCAACCCATCCAGGGAGCCTCCCCTCACCCTCCACACGACTCCTGCCTCTCCTGAGGCAAAGTACAGAGCTGCAATGGTGACCCAGAGCCAATCAGGCCAAATGCAGAACCCACAGGCACCATTTAAAGGACGCATGGCAAAGTTAGAGAGAGCTCCTCTGGGCAGGGTCCATCGATGCCCAGGGTTCTACCCAGTCTACCGCAGGGACTAAGTATCAAAAAGTACTCCTCCAGAATGGTCCTTCCTGATAAGATGGAGAAACACTATTTACAAATCCCAAATGTGAGAATGTTCCACATTGCCAGATGAGCAGGAGGGTGTTTTTACATTCATATCCTGCCTGTGGACTAACCACACAATGTTGAACTATGTAAGCCTCTGGTTTGTTCAAGCACAACTCTTTTTATCCTACTTGTGGGAAATGTTTTCCCAAATTACATGGAACCACGTTAAAAAAAACAACAACCTTCCCCTCTACCAAGAAAAGGTCACTGCTGACATGGCCAAACACGCAAGTTAGGAACTGAACAATCTACTCTGGACTGCTTTTAAAAACCAATCCAAGCATTTGCTGAAGAGAAGCAAGGTTTAAATATAATTTTGTTAATCTAGGAGGATCTGAACAGAAAGACAACAAAATTCACCCATTAGCTGGACAATTAAATTTACAAACTTTCCAAAGAGAAAAGGCAGAAAGAAAAGAATAAAGGCAGCCAGAGGAAAGGCAGCAGAGATGGAAGGAGGGGAACACGTGCCTCTTACAAGGTCCAAGGTCGGGGCCAAGGAGCCTTTGGGCTGATCAGAGCGGCCAGCTCCCTGCCTCTTACAGGCCAGACCACACAAGCACGTATGTCTGCCTAGGGCACAGCAGCAAGCCTCCTGCAGCTCAGGTAACATGCTACCATGCTACAGGGCCACCTATATAATGTGAACACATGTGGAAGAAAAAGGAGGGTGTGAGGTTTCTTTAAAACACATCCCACCACATTAATGTTTTCAGGTTATTATCAGACAGACCATTTTGCCCTTTTAACCTCGTGTACCACCATGTGCTGTGGGATTTAAGGCAAAATTGAGCTGCCCCTTGCTTGTTTGCATCTGGATAAATTAAGAGAAGAGCAAGGACCATGTTGCTTCTGGATACTGAACACAGTGACAATTAAGCAAAAATAAAAAATGAAAAAAAAATCTTATGGGCTGAAGTTGGCCGTTGAGTTCCTCACCGCTCGTTGAGAGACATCTTGGTGGTGCTCTTAAGCACGACTTTCGGTGCTGATTGCGCAGCCATCTCAGGTCCCCAGAATCTACAAAGAGAAAAAGCAGTAGTTACTGCTTCAACCAACCCACCAAGGATAGCAATAGTAGCAGCCAAGGAGATGATCGAAATAATCAAGGGCCAGAGCAAATGCTCCGTGAGGAGGAGTTACACCTCTTGAATAGAGGGATGCAAGCAGACAGAGAGATATCTAGGGAGATTAGTAGGAGACTCAGTATAGATAAATGGAAGCACTTCTTCACAATTACACTATGGAATTTGCTACTGGAAGAAATAACAATAGGCAGATAATTGGCTGGTTTAAAAGGTGAATTAGTTAAATCAATGAAAAATGACACCATTAAGAGCTACTACTTGCACTGGCTGCATGTGCAATGATTAGGCAACACTATGTCCATTAGCAGTTGTGGGGGTACTGTGGGCTTCCAGCAAGGCTTAGAATTCTGGAATAGAAGCCTCTGATCTGATCCAGCGCAGCTCCTCTTAAACATCCTTAAAAGGAAAGCCAGAGTGTGCACCAGGGCATCTTTTACAGCAAAGCTGGGCAACCTACAGCCCTCTTGATGCTTTGACCTTCAATTCTCTTCAGCCATTGCCAGTAGAGCCAGTCGTGAAGCTGAGGGGCAAAGCTCCACGATTCAGAAGGACGAGCAGAAAATTACGTCTTGGGGTGGAGGAGAAGAGCAGGACTGGGAGAACGGAGCGAAAGGGCACTATCGAGACCTGGCTGCCTAACCACTTGGGCAGCCTTTTTCCTCTCCTCTCCCCACCCGCTTTCCCTCCTGCACCAAAATCTTTTCGACTGCAGTCCTCCCAGGCAGAACAGCTCACCAGCAGTATCGATAAGGCGCTCTGAGAAAATCGCTCATTGATAAAACAAGTTATTTCCGACAATCAGGCCCTGCTGCGGCCCCCGCCGCACCGGAAGTACCCTGCGCTCCCCCCCCACTCTTCCCCAGGACTTCCGCTCGCCAACGTTCCGAGCCAATCACGTGGCCGGGACGGGCCTCGCGGCCTGGGCAAAGCCACCCGGAGCAAGAGGCCACGCCCCCTTGGGCCCCGCGTGTAACGGACGGCGGCTCCCCCTCCCCCGTTCACTCACCGTCGGGGGCGGGGCTCGCTCTGTTCCGCCTGCGGCCCTGGCGGCGTCGGCAGCGGCGGGAGGCTCCGCTCAGGCTTAGCCCGGCCTCCCCCCTCAGGTACCCCGAACGCAAAGATGATGGCGGCGGGGTTTTTTCCTTTGTCCACTTAAGCCGCCTCTCGGCAGCGACGCCGCTTCTACCTCGGCGCCCGCCCGTGGTTCCCTCGTCCCCTCAGGCCTCCGCTCGTTCGTCCCCTCTCCTCAATTTCTTCTCAGAGGCAGCCCGGCAAAATGGCGGCGCCGTATATTTGCTGCGGAAACGGCGCATGCGCCAGCACGGTGGGCGTGGCGAGCAGGAGGCAAAAGGGGCGGCCTCTATTGCCTATTACGCAGGCGCAGTTTAACGCTGGTTAGACAGCTGGGCGGGACTAAACTGCGTCGCACGGCGCGTAGTGATTGACAGGCGGGGACTTACCGGGGGCCTGTAAGGGGCGGGGCTGCGCCTGAGCGGCCCGCCTCCAGCTAGGCTAAAGGGGCGGGGCTTCCCGGATTGTAGGGGCGCGCGCTTGAATTCCCTACCACGAACGGGGCCGTGTTTAGCCACGAGGGGGCGCCCTTCCCCATGGCAAAGGCCAGCAGGTTTCCTCGGGAGTAAATCCTATGCCGTTAAATAGCTTTTATTGTGGGCCTCTAGCAGGCTCGGATCCAAGGGAGCACTCTGCAGCTACAATACTTGTGCAAATTGTAGTTTGGAGTATTTTCGCATGCAAAAATTAACTTTATGGGGAAATCCAGATGTAAACACTGGCAAGAAAACATTTCTCGGGCGGACCAGTTGATCGCTTCACTGCGGATCAGCGGGCTGGTTCTCCCCTTTGGTGCACCGTGGATAAGACCCCAGCTGGGGGGGGGGGGGGATTGCTAGCAATCCTAGACAGCCAAGCCACTCTGCATTAGCACTGTAGGCTTCCAAGCTAATTGTACCAAAGCTGTACAAAATAAATAATTTTTTTTAAAGCTTGTTGGTCCAGACAATTTTCTGCCATTTCCTGTTTGTGCCTTAAATATAAGTAGCCAGCTACGCATCTTCGCTCCTTGCACATACACACACACACAATATAACAAGTAATTTGCGATTTACAATTTTGTTGTTAAAAGGTCTGCAAGCCAGGTGAACTAGCCCACAACTGTTTTGGCACCTCCCCCCCCCCCGCCAATAAATCAAGATAGGAGGGGTGGTTAACTCCCAAATTAGCCTGCATATGATTGTACCTTGCAGTGCAGTTCTGCATGTTTCTACCCACAACTCAGTTCCATTGAGTTCATTCCCATGTAGCGCTGGCCTGCGCACAAGCCCCATCAACCCCCTTCTGAGCATACACAGGAGAGAGGCATCTTGACTGCAATTCTTGTATCTTTTAAAAATATATCTTGTAAAAAGTATGGCTGCAGCATTTAATCAATTGGCTGGACTACTAAAAAGCCCCCCTATTAACGGACTAAAAAGACACCCTGATTAATCAAGGACAATATTTTGCACTTCACAAAACATCCTTGCACATATTTTGTGATCTTTTGATTGGCCTAATTGAGGTATTATACTAAAGTGTTTTCAACATTTTTCTTACGTTCATCACTTTTGCTTCTACATCTGCCTGGGCCAGTCCTTGGCCTATAATTGAATAAGGATTCTACTGAGACTTCTGCAAATCTGGTTTTACTCACTGAACAGAAGAATACAGGCCATGGAAGTGTTTTTTTTTTTTTTTTTGCCCTTCCCATCATCTCCTTTGCTGATATTCAGGATATATAGAATGGCTAGGCCACATTAGAGAAACTAAAAATACAAGATGTGCCAAGCTGAAGTGGGGTGCAGAAGAAAAAAAAGTTACATTTTAAAGGGGTGAGAGAATTCATAAAAGAAAGAGGGTTAACAATAGCAGTAAGTAGACTGTAGAAGAAAAAGTTTGCAGAGAGATTGAATGTGAAGGTCTCCTGGTCCCTGGCGATTTCTGAGCTCACTTAATGGAGGGGATAACATTTAGGCGGTTCAAAAGAGTTGGGGCACAGCTCAAAAGCTTCACGTCACATGCCATAACACACTCGGTAATCCTCCCTGTCTCACGGTTTCAAGCCACTCGTCTCCATCTTGTGGCAGTGAGTTCTGCAGATTAAATCACCCCCCCCCCCAGAGGGGAGAGTGGCCTCAGGATGCTCCCAAGAGTCTGGGGGCTCTGGAAAAAAGCGAACCCCAGCTTTCTGGAAATACAAGGTCCCATGAGGCAAGGCGAATGAATTCGGAAGGGTACATCACCCAGGAGGTTGCGCATCTCGCTCTGTCGCGTTGCTTCTTCTCACGCACGTTCCATGCGCACATGTTGAAGATCCGATAAAGCTCTTGCACCACGTCCTCTGCCTGCGAGCTCACGGCAAGTCTCTTCGAAGAACCAAGAACCAAGGGACATCAGGAGGCCTTCCAAAAACACCAGCAAGCGGGAAACGGTTGCCACGCAGCCGCCAGGTGCTCTCTGGGGGCCGTCCATGTTTTCAGAAATGTGATGCTGAAACCAAGATTGGCACTAGTCAGTCACTCAAAGTGGCAATTCAAGTGTTCAGATGTAAAAGGACCAAGATGGCGGAGGGAGGGGTAAAGCCACCGTGGCTCCCCACGTGTTCCCGGTTACCAGCTTCAGCTCTGGGACAGGCCGTGGGGCTGGACACACGAGGCGGAAGCTCCCGGGTTCTGACGCAAAGGCAAAACACGTTTTGGGAGGAACAAGAAGTCCGCTCTGTGCTAGCCCGGATTCTGAGAGCTGGAAAGCAGGTTGACGCAACCCCTTTTGGCACAAAGCGGAGAACAAATTGTCGTTCGGACACGCTGGCCTCATTCCTGCGCTTGACCTGGAGTGGCCAGGGCCAATTCAGGATGCAGGAGGCTGCGAGGGTGGCCAGGGGTCCCTGGAAGAGGACTGTTCTTTGTCAGAACCGAACCGAAGTCCTGTTTGGTTCAAGTCTGGATGAAACAAGAGGAAGGACCATGGACCTCAAACCTGCAGCGTTGCATTTAGCATCTGTTCCAATACATTTCTTTGCCATTGTTGGACAGTGTTGCTGTATCCAAAGCTGCTGCTATCATTCTGCACAAATGCTTGGAAGGAGCTTTCTGGGAAATAAAAATGGAGGTCTGCAGACCAGAGGGGGCCCTGGGCCCATGCAACTGCCCCAGGATGCCAGGTGCAGGCATCGCTTCCTGTGCAAAGCCACTCAAAACGAAGCCTCCCCAACTACAACAAAGCTTATTCTCTGCTACTTGTAGGTATGACAACACACGTTTTTTAAAAGGCATCTTCAGATTGTTCCCAGGTGTGGAAGAAAATCAGGGACAGCAAAAGCCAAAGCGTCCCTCTTAAACAAGGTCTGCCTGGGATCGCACCACCAAATGGAAATTATCTGGCAAAATCTCGGCTGACTGGCATCCCTCCTAGAGGAATTATCACAGCGCGGGGCTATTAATACTGCAGGCACGATTCCTGCGGTGAAGCAGCATTGTCAGCGGACCTGTAACCCATCCTTCCGATAAGAGGCCGGAGATCAGGTGTCCCAGCAGCTCCTCGCAGACAAAGGGGGCTGTCGGAGCAGCTTACTCAGGTGACGGATGCGAGGCCCACCTGATTCAGGGCTACTAAAAGGTTCCACACTCAATCGCTGGGGCAATAAAGGAGCCAAGAAACCAGATTCCCGGACAAACCGCCCGAGGTCATGTTACAGGGCAGGAGCTTGTGGAAAAAATTAAACCGTCCCGGCATGAATGATGCAAGAGATGGTATTGCATTATCGCGCCTGCTCGCTTTGGCTTGAGTATCGGTTTTGTCCACGTGCCTCGGTGCCGTTTCATGGCTCCAGGGCCCTAAGAAAGGTAACTCCTGTTAAAGGAGGAATCCCCAAGGCGTGGTAACATCTGTATTTGGTATGTTAGGTTACCCATGGGTAGACTTTGGGACTGTGGATTCTCTTTGGCTTTATTCATTTGTTTATTTAAAACTTTTGTATGCCGTCCCCCATGCCAGGCGTCTCGGGACGGCTCCCAATCAATACATTAAAACGATCGATAAAATCACAGCCATTAAAACAATCCAAGGGGTAAAAGCAATAAAACGTGGCTGTTACATTAATACTAGTTTTCAAAATACCGGTTAAATGAAAAGGTTTGGACCTGGTGCCGAAAAGAGTACAAGCTCGGCGCCAGGCAAACCACTCCGGGGAGCGCATCCCATAATCTGGGAGCCACAGCAGAGAAGGCCCTACTCTGAGTAGATGCCCGTTTCACCTCCTTCAGGGAGGGTTCTTGGAGCAGGGCCTCCCTCGCTGATCTTAAGGGGTGTGAGGGCATGTAAGGGAAGAGGCGCTCCTTCAGGTATCCAGGTCCCAAGCCGTTCAGGGCTTTATCGCCCAAAACCAGCACCTTGAATTGGGCCCGGGCTTCAACCGGGAGCCAGTGAAGCTGGTAGAGGACTGGCGTTACATGAGAATAACGACCGGTCCCCGTCAGCATCCTGGTCGCTCTATTCTGTACCAGCTGAAGCATCCGGACCGTTTCCAAGGGCAGCCCCACGTCGAGCGGTTCAGCGCAGCGCAGAAAGCCAGCCGAAGCGTGGCAGCGTGGCGTTTGGCGAGACTGTTGGATCGGGGACCCGGAAGACCTGGGCTCGAGTCCCCACAGGGGCAGTCGCTCACTCTCAGCACAGCCTACCTCACAGGGCTGTTGTTGTGAGGATACAGTGGAGCTAAGGAAGCTGCCTTGAGTGTCTTCCAAGAAGAAAGAAGGTGGGATATAAAGGCAAGTAGTAAGCGCAGCAGGCTGGCAGCCTTCTCCATCGGCTCGATCCCCTCCTGGACTGCAATTCTGTGGTGGCCGTTGTTAGTACGCTTATTTATTCATTTATTAAAGCATTTTTATGCCGCCCCATTCGCCGAAGCCTTGGGGCGGCTTACAAAAATACGTTACAAATAAACGACATTAAATTAAAAATATAAACATCAAAATTAAAAATACAAAAATAACAAAATAAAATAAGCCGCCCTGGCCAGATAAAATCCAATAATAGTAACAATTAAAATGCCGCTTAAATAAAAAGGTTCAATAGGTGACGCTTTTCTCCGCCTGCCGTTCTATTTCTGGAGCCACTGTGCAGTGCAAGGGAAAATAAAGATGATGAGAAGTCTCAGGAACGGGGTGTGCGAATGCTTTGTCCGGTGTCTAAGGACCCAGAAGAACCTCCCAGACCCTGTCGCATCATTTCAGGCGGC